CAGGCAAGGCAAGAACAAGAGCAACACTGCTTTGTTTTGGGCACAGATTTCAATAAATCGTCAAGATCAGCTATAGCAGAGGAAGAAGAACAAGAACAAGAACAGGATGGTGAAACCCAGAAGCCGCTACTCCATTTCTTTGAGGATTGCCCACCAAAAAACTCGGATTCCTGGCTTGATTTAGCCTCAAATTCAAGTATACAAAATGGAAATTTTATTGGGCTATGAATACCTTTAGTTCTTCAGCTGTAATCTGACAGTTTCCTTCTCACTTCACCTCTGTTTTTTTTTTTTTTTCTCTGTTTCTGTCTCTCTGTGCAGATGGTTAAAGAATCAATAATGGAGTTTTGGGTAATGGCCAAAAGAGTACTTGTCAGTGAGTGAAGTACCTTCTTAGTTTGTGGTCAGGGAAGCTTTTCTTTTGCTAAAGTTTTGAATGTAAACTGCAGGATTTTCAAGAGAGGTTTCCTGTCCTTTGCTTTCTTTTATTTAATATTTTATTTTTTACACTTGCTGTCTTTTCCTGTAAGAAACATGTTTCAAAGTATGCAGCCTTGCTAGTTTGATTGGAACAAACAACCAGGAAATTTGCTAGATTCTCTTCTAACTTCATAGCTAAATGCACTTTCCTTTTCCTGACCAGTAGGGTCTTTGTTTTTCCTACTTTCTTTTAAGAACAAAAATTAGCTCAAGATTAGATTAACGCTTTACAATTTAATAAGATTGAGGTGGGTATTTCTGAGATCTCACGTCGGTTGATGAGTAAAACAAAACATTCATTGTAAGGTGTGAAAATCTCTTCTTAGCAGATGCATTTTAAAAACCTGGAAGATAATATCGGTTAACGGTGAATTTGGCCTATTACAAATGGTATCAAAATCAGACACCAAGTGATTTGCTAGCAAAGGAGGGTGGACACGAGGCGGTGTGCCAGCAAGGATGTTGGGCACCGAAAGAGGGTGTATTGTGAGATTCCACGTAGATTGGGTAGGAGAACGAAACATTGTTTATAAAGGTATGAAAATTTCTCCCTAACAGACAATTTTAAAAAGTTTGAGGAAAAATTCGGAAAATCCGAAATAAAAAATCTAAAAGAGAATGATATTTACGACTATTGTTGTTTGCATCTGAATTTTAACCACAACTTTCTCAAGAGAGTTACGGAAACTCTTCTGTGAGAAGGCAGATGTGAAAGAATCTTGCAGCTTCACTGTTTGATAGCAGAAGGATTGGCATTCTGCAGTTGCCAGTTCTGTCCAAACTCCAAACAATCTCTTATTCAGCAGCTCCCACACTCCTTCAAATTTAGCTATTCAGTATTGTAGGATATTGTTCAGTTTTCTACCTTGAGGCTGACCAAATTCATCTCCAGTTCTACAATATTTTTATTCTATCATATTGGCTAGATTCCTTTTTGTAGATTATGATTATTGTGAATGGGAACTTGAACTTGAACTGATTTCGTCCTACAGAAACTAATGAAGTTTCATTCCATCATTTTGGCGGACCACGATATATAATGAGCTAATGAGCTTGAAATGTTACAATGGTATCATAGTCATTCACTAGACAGTGTGCTAGCAAGAACGTTAGGTCTCTAAGAGAGGTGGATTGTGTGTGGAAATCTTACCCCAACAAACGCATTTTAAAATCGTGAGGCCATAATACATAACAGGTTAAAGCGGACAATATCTATTAGCGGTAGGCTTGTATAAATTTTGCACCCTCTTTAGGGTTTCTTGTTCTATTGTTCTTTCAACAAGACCAATAACTCAAAACACATCCTACCATGGAGAATTGATGTTCAAAGATAAAGAAATAGTGAAAATTTGAAGGCATTCCAAGAAATCATATGGTGAACATTTTTACTTGATAAGAACAGTTGAAAGCCAAACAGCACAAAACTGAATAGGTTAGCAGAAAAAGAATTGAAGAACAAGATTTGAACTAATGAACTGTATAACCAGAAATGGACAAAAGAACGAACAAGAAATCAAAATCAAAATCAAAATCAAAATCAAAAGCAGAAAAATCTGAATCAAATATGATGCATACCCGTTAAGCGTAAGACAACATTGCTCGCCCTTCCTATCCGCCTGCTGCCCGCTCCGTTTCATCGACCATTGTGCACCCAATCTATATAACAAATAATTCTTTTATTTTGAATTTCTTATTAGTATATTTATTTTTAGTAAGATTCTAGAAACAAAACACATTTTTTAAATTTATTTTTATAGTAAATTTATATATAGAAGTAGTGTTTTAAGCTTAATTATTTAAAAATAAATAAATTAAATAGTTATTAAATATGATCTTAATTATTTAATGATAATATATTAGTTAAAAAACTATAATTAAAGACATAAATTTTAACCTTCCATAATTAATAACATCAATTCAACATTTTTGTCGGTTCGGATTTGATTGTATCATCGCTCTATAATTCGGATTAGCTTTATCGTTAGATGAACTGCATTGATATTGACCCTAAAAAAGAAACGTGGGAACAGTTATTGACCCTAAAACAGAAATGTAGGTATAGCTAGTCCGTGAATAGCTAACCATTGCATTGTAAAAATAGAATAAGTTTTATCGATAGTCATTTGTTCCTCCTAAAAAGATCTAATAGATGTCCTAGTCTTGTTTGTTCGAGACAGTTGACAGGTACATCAACCAATTGAGTGGGGGAGAATGTCACGGTCATGCATGTCCAGGACATCTTGTCCACTATCGAACTTATTCCTCTACGCTCTTTAGCACGAGATTTTGAGTCTCGCGTGTCTACCATTTCGCCACCAAGATATCTTAAATGATCATTCTTTAAATTAGCCAACGTGGGACTCTTTCCCAGCTATTTTCAACATTTTCGAGTCCTGTCCATGATTCATGATGTCATCTAAGGTTTCATGACGTCAACTCGAATCAAAGTCAACGCCGTGCCTACCTTCTCCCTCTCTCTCTCTGAATTTCCCCCCACCAAAATTTATAGAGAGAGAAATTGAAGCTAGAGGGCTTCATCTGTGGAATTGCTATTCAAACTCACCGCCAAACGATCAGACGCATAACGGCAGCAAATATTTAAAAACTTTATTAAATATTTTTAAAGTTTAAAAATCTATTCAAACTACTTAAAATTGAAATGGGTTATTATTATTATTATTATTATTGACGAGTAAGAGATTAATTAGTATTAGAGGGCGATCCAGGAAAATGGGCCAAATTGGAGCAAAAAAAAGCCCACTGGGCTTGAAAGCAAATAGGATTTTTGTGTTTCTATCAGACAGGCCCATATATAAATCAATGGAACCTAACATAGTGGTCTATGTAGACTTTATAATGAACATATTTTTTTATAAAAAAAATTATTTGAGGCCCACGTGTCAAGAGGTTCCATTCTAAAAAGAGAAAGTTCGAAACAATGAGAAGTATTGCTAGGTCATTAAACCTCGCTATTGATATCTCTCCATGACACAATCGAGCTCTTACATAAATTCGAGAGCGACAACATACGAGAGGTAATATAAGTAAAGAAATCATACCCACCTAAACAATTCTACCATATTAAAAGTTCAACACCATTTTGGCTCAGTACTAACTCAAGTCAGCTCGAATGCTGCCTAGACCCAAGAGTGATGTCATATAAGAAGTAACATGAGTAGAGAGATCATACCCACCTAAACAATTCTACCATGTTAAAAGTTCAACACCATTTTGGCTCAGTACTAACTCAAGTTAGCTCGAATGTTGTCTAGATCTGAGAGTGATGTCATATGAGAAGTAACATGAGTAGAGAGATCATACCCACATAGACAATTCTACTGTGTTAAAAGTTCAACACCATTTTGGCTCGGTATTAACTCAAGTCAGCTCAAGTACTACCAAACTAGTAGACTTGCATCAACAACAAGTCTATGCCTTTTTTTTTTTCATTACTAAAATCTAAAAACTCCAAAAATATGGGGTTTTTTTGTTTCTTTCTTAAATGAAGAGAGTGAGTTGTTTTGAATCAAATGAAGTAAAAGAAATTCATTCCATAATTAGATGATTGAGATTGTGTTGGGATTGGGTAAAATAATTGAGACCTTCCCTCAGCCCCATCTTCCTCACTGCCCTCCATTAAATTGGCTGTCAGCTCATATTTATAGTGCAAGCAAAGCCATCCATCTTCCTTTTGTTAGATTAGTGCACAACCAAAACCTATAATTGGTTAAAAAATGAAAATGAAAACTACAGTGTAATATCTCAGGTCAATTGGAGAGAGAATAAAACATTTTTTATAAAAAAAAATCTAAATAAAAAAATTCAAAAAGAATAATATTTCTAAAGCTTTTTTACGAGGGAGTAAAATAGAAATTCTAAAAATCTTAGGGGGTTAAAAATTTTATTAAAATAAAACTTGGAAAGTAAAAATAAGAATTAGAGTATATCCATGAGTAATTATTATAGGATTTTTAAAAAAATTAAAAAAAGAAAATTGAGCTGGATCTACGAAGCTGTTCATTAATGTAAAAAGACAAACAGATAAATCTAAGGTTTGAGATCCGAATTTATGTTTCAGCTTTAAAGGAGTCACATTAATATTATAAATATTCGGATTTGGTTTCTTATTTTAATTTTAAACCACATTTTCAGCTTTTAATAAATAATCCTGCACACTTCTTGCCCCATACATTATCTATAAATTTATCATCTTTTCTATGAGCTCGGTGTTAGAATTTCCCTATGTAATTATGATACAACTTTTTTAAAAAAAAATTATCTCGGCTCACAAGACATTTGGTCCATGAATTTGTAATTTGCAACTCGATAAGTTAGCAATCTACCTCAAATTTTGCTGAGTGTGTGCATGAAGAAGAGAGATTATTACCCCTAAACGGACCATACCTGACCTTGTTCGGACAATGCTTGGAAATCAAGTTATTCAGCAAGGTTAAAGCAAGCCCGTCCAATCCTCTAAGTATTACCCCTTTCCCGATGTTGACTAAAATCGCCGCCGAAGGTTCCTCTATCAACACTATTTTATTGACAAAAGACTCAATGTATCGACGGTCTCTGCAATAGATTAAATTTGACTTACAAGACTTCAAGCTTGATACTTTCTGGAAGTCGATGCTACAATATCATATAAAACAAAGTTAAAGCTTATACATTAAAAGTAAGCAAGAGGTATGCATGAGAATTAGGAAATGGGTATGGTTTAATTTCACCACCTAACCTCAACAACTTAAAGTAAAACTTGTTCAACAGTTTCCATTTGTTCTGATGTTGTGAAAGAAAGAAAGTACAGGTGGTTTTTCTGATGAAATTCATATATAAAATGCACAGTAGTTGGTAAAAAGTCAGGTTTGGACAGAGAAAAATAGGAATATGAAAGTTGAAACCAATGAAAATGCAAATTCATGCATAGTGATCATAAAAATAAAAAGAGTTTTGATCTTCTCTCCTTTCTATGGCCTCTGAAAAAGTTGTATTATTTCGAGACAATACTTTTCTGTTCTCTGCTTAGTTTTTTCACTTTGTCCTCCTTCTGTCTCTCTCTAAAATCATCTCTCCTTCCCCTTTCCATTATCATACATAGATTCTTCACTAAATTCGAGACCTTTCTCTCTCTCCCTCTAAAGCCCTCTTTCCTTTTTTCTGAATTTCATGACAGTTCCTGGCTTTCATTCATTCAGAATACAAAAACAAGATCCACTGTGTAAAACATTAATTCCAATAAACTTTTACTTCCCTAAGTTTTACTTCCCTTCACTGTTTCTTAAACAGTATGTGTTTGCTAGCTGTTGTTAACTATTTAGAGGCAGACTTTATATCTCGCTCAATCATCAAGCTCATGATCAGAGTGTGTCCTTTTCCTGAAATGCTGCCAACCCAAAAAATTATTCCAATTTCTTTGTATATATCTCTAGTTGCTTGCTGAGATCCCTGTTATATTTTCGCCTCTTAAGGAGAAATAAAGCACTCTTCTAAACCATAAACTCTCTCTCTCTCTCTCTCACTCACTCTCAGTCTTGTTCTTTCTATCTCTATCTCTTAAAGTTCCAATGACTGAAGAGGAGTCTGTGAAAAGAAAAGTAAGTCAAGTTGAAGGAGATATAAATGAGGCAGAAAATATGAGGAATGGCGGAGTCAATAAAGGCGCTTGGACTGCAGAAGAAGATCAAAAACTGGCTGAGGTTATTTCCATTCATGGAGCAAAAAGGTGGAAGTCCATTGCAGCCAAAGCAGGTGCTGCTCTTTCACTCCTTTCCTTATTTTCATCTTCTTTATTCCAACTCAAGAGATATGAGAAGTAAATTTAGTTTAATGGGTTTCTGAATTTTGCAGGTCTCAATCGGTGTGGGAAGAGTTGTAGACTAAGATGGCTGAATTATCTCAGACCTAATATTAAGAGAGGCAATATATCAGATCAAGAAGAAGATTTGATCCTCAGGCTCCATAAACTTCTTGGAAACAGGTCATGTTTTCTTGCCCGTTTCACTCTCCAATTTTCTCGCTTTGATTAACTTCAGTTTCGTAATCTGAAAAGGAGTTTTGGTTTTCCGGGATGGGGTGGTACCTGATTGATCTTTTCAGGTGGTCTTTGATTGCTGGGAGACTGCCGGGAAGAACAGATAACGAGATAAAGAACTATTGGAATTCTCATTTGAGCAAGAAACTGAACCTACAGAGTGAAAAAGAAAGCGACATTCTCAAAAGAAAAGTGTGTAAAAGAAAAGTAGACACAGGGTCGAGAGAAGAGGAAACATCCCAAGAATGTGAAAATAGCTCGAACTTGGAGTATGATGTTGATAACTTGTTTGATTTTTCCAATGAGGGGCCTGATTTGGAGTGGATGAGTAAATTCCTGTAATTGGGTATCATAAGCAGCAACTATAAGCTTAGGTTGTATGCAAATCATCAGTGATTTATCTAAATTTCTATCGTTTCCCTCATAGCCTTAGCCAAATATTTGCTTGCTGACGAACAGATTCCTACTAACTTGATCTCGTGCTGCTATCTACTCTACCTGCTATCAATTATCAAAATCATATTCCAAAGATTGTAGTTCCTTACACTTCTCTGAATATAGCGAAAGGCAAGGAAGTTCGATCATAGGGAATCAGCAAGAGACATCGAGCGTGCGAATATGGTAATCTCCTAAGATTAAAGAGAGAGACAGAGAATGATCTTGTGCTACATATAGTAATCCCCGAAGTTCAGAGAGGGAGGGAGTTTGATAGTGCACTCATTAAGAGGGGATGGTTTAAGTTTCTAGATTTTGACTCATAATCCGATACGGTGGTGGGGATATGAAAAGAATCATTCAGATAGACAAGAAAAACAAAATGTTCACTTTCTGTCACGAGTTTAGTCCAAGTTTTCAGATGGTCAGAATCAGACAAATAGTGGAGACCAGCATTCCTCCACCACATAACACTCAGCCTGATATGGTCAGCGTCTATATCTTGTCATTCTTGGATTTTACCCAAACAAAACAGATGTGTACAAATTTACAGCAAAGTTTAAGTACTAATGTACTATTATATATAACCCCCAGACCGACGCTCAACTCACTATCTGTACGTATTTCCTCAGACCTATACCATCAAATTGGCCCCTTTGAAGCTTACTATTAGAGTTATATGTTCCCAGCTAACTCTTGTCATGGAGAAAAAAGAACAGAAAGATAACTTGTATATCCCCAGCATGTTAAACGTGGATTACCAGACTAGTTATGAAGGGTAAACACTAAGTAATGTCATCTTAAACTGACACGCAAGAACTGATCTCTTTCATCAGACAAAATATGGCACTTGGATAGCAATGACCACTTGTATGTTAATAACAGTTATGATGTAAAAGAAAAAAAAAAAAAAAAACCTTTGGCTTTCATATTCAATGTTAAAACAATTGATTAACAAGGCCGATCAAATAAATAATTACAGACTCTGGCCCTTGACGAGTACGACTCTAGAACTTGACTTGGTTTGTTTTTCCATCTGGGAAAGCAGCTTAAAATATAGAAGAAAATCTACTACTATGGTTCTTAAAAAAGAAATGGATGAGCTTATAATCACAGTACTTAGAATGAACAGTTCAATATACTATTTACAGCCTCAGCACTAAACATTACCACACTGCAAATTATCCCCAAGCCATCGAGCAGGCATAATTTACGACCAACTTCCCATCAATTCCAAAGTTCTGCAAATAAACACACAAAAAAGATAATGAACAAGATACCTCTAGACACGATTACTTAAGAAAAACTTTAGACTCGTGTGGATATGAAAAAAAACATATATTTATTCTTAGGTAAAGAAACAGATTGAGAAATTTCTATGAGCAGGGAATAATTTTATCCATACATAGCCCTCAGAGAAGGTGATAATCTAAGAGATCTTGTGGATTCATGCTTCAGAAAGGTTTCAAATCTTGACTGCTTAAGCCTTTTCCTTCACCTCCTAAGAATATATAATGATGGGTATTTTCAAGAATGATTCATGAACAACATCAACATCAGAAGTCTACACTACACCTTCAATGAAGATACCCCCCCTCAGTTAAGATGGCAGTTTTTGACTAGCCAATAGATGGAATCTTTTTAAGATAAATTCCAACCAATTCTTCTAAAAAAATCCCCCCTCCTTTTCTGATTCTAAAAGTTAATGAAAATTTCAAACAGTATACAAACGTAACTTGAACATAAATGGAAGAAATGAGTCAATATCAACTCACATTATATAGATCAATAACTGTCTCATCTGGACCAGGTGAGAAGGCACTGTTGACAAACACAAACTTCAAAGAATAGAAACAATTAGCATGGTGAAGTGTCATTAATTTCTTATGAATGAGAAGATGAAAGAGAGACTATTTCAGAAGTCAGATGAATACCAAGGTGTCCCGTTGGATTGACCGACGTATATAATCAATCACTTTAATAAATTTGTCTGTTCCAGGCATCTGTCAAATGTATACTAAATATGTGAATGAACATTTACCATAAACTTACAAATATAGAAAAAAAAAATTCCAAAAGGATAAACTTTAAAGGAGGAGCCGCTGTATAAAATTTTTCAAAACCACACATTCTAAGAACCCTCACCGCATAGCAGGGATATACCCTCCCCAAATTAATCATGATACTTAATTCATCAATAATTCTATAAAAATTTCCACAATTTGTCATAAACAATAAAGTTTCTGCCATTAGCCACATGAAAACCATAAGTACAAGGATTAAGCTTCATTCCTTTTAGCTCCTACAATGGTCGTTTTCTTCATCTATGTCTCATTCAGTCAGCATACACGATACTAGAATCAATCGTTTACAGTTCATTTCATCTTGATCTAATCGAATTACCAAAAGTTTTCACATGCATCAAGATTTGATTTCCATTTTACATTTTAAACAGTACAACACAAATTACAACTTTTAAATCCATAGAAAGACAAAAATTAAGGCAATACAAACCTTAAACTTGTTTTGTTTGAGAATGGGAGCATCCCCAATAGATCGCAGCAGAACAACCACTACCAAAAATAAAACCAAATAAATCACTATAAATTTTGATAGAAAACCTCATTAGGAAAGAATCGTATTAAACGGTCAATGTAAAAGAACTCTCCTTCTGTATCCGATCAACTAAGCCTGAAGATTGAGTAAAGTTCGAAAGTTCGATTCATCAAAAATAGCAGAAATAAACCCTGATTGAAGATAGGTTTGTTCATACATCTTCTAAAGCTCACCTTTCTTAGAAGAATTAGACGACTCCATAGAAGCCATCGTTTTCCTCCGCCGTGAACTGCACGAATTGCCACCCCTCTGTGTGCGGTACAGTCTCCGACTTCGATCAAAAGAACGAAAGATCTTGATTGGGCGATTTTGTACGGTTCATGGCGTAAATTTGGGCTTTGCAAGGTAATAAGTAGCCCATTGGGCTTGTGGGTTGGGTCATTTTTTTTAGATCCAATGGTAAATTTTTTCATCTCAATTTATTTAACAAATGAACTCCATTTGAGTTATTAACGTAATTTATTTAAATTTTTATTTTTAACAGACGTACAAAATCAAATAAATTGTTACCACATTCGAATGAGAGCAATCATAAGGATAGACTAACTAAGAAAAACTTAAAGCAAATGAAAGTTACTGTCTTATACTAATAAGGCACGCCTTTATTTTTTATAGCTAACTTTACAATCAAGTGTACTTTGTTTGGAGCAATTCTAGGTTAGGTGATTTCTTGGAAAAATTTCTAGAATGCACGTGAGTGAGGACAAAGCATATTGGAAGAACTTATGTTAGTTTGTGGGAGATAGTTTTCACTCTTAGAAGCAGAGAGTAAATAATGTGACTATGTCGCAAGGGATGTAAGGGAATGTCGAAGCCATTAAGTGTCGAATTTGGATTCCAAATCCTGAGCATGAGTCATCACCAATTGTATCAGAGCTAGGTTCCTCTCCCGGTAATATGTGGTTCGGAGACGAACCAAGACAAAGGCTGATGGGTATGTGATACCCGAGTAAAAGAGGGGTACATGAATGAACCGAGACCATGAATGAGAGTAGCACGTAATACCATTAATTAGTTTCGAAAAATAAAAATAAAAAGTGGACCTTTTGAATTAAACTGGGCCTCTTGAAAAGCCCAATACTGTTCCATTAATTCTATAAGACCTACTCGGTTTAGATGCTTATTTCTTCTCGGCTTGGCGCTTTTCTCCTCCCTTCCTCCCTCCCTTCTCCGTCCTTCAACCTCCATAGCTCCTCACCTAGTCGATTACAGTGAGTTATATTCCACAAATTTGCTTCCATCATTTTGTTTCTTGTTCCGGTTGATTTGTGGCCTTCTGAATTATCCATTGATAACTGTAGCTTGCTGTTCGTTGGATCATATAATTGAACTTGAACTTGAACTTGAATTCGTAACCATGATCTACTTTCTTTTATTTTCTTTTGCAATTTTGGAAATTTATCAATCAGGAAAACGGAGTTCATCGGAAGTTAATGCTCCATTGACGCATTCATTTGTATCTGTATCGATCAACTTGTATTGTTTTGTGTTGTTTTCTTCAAGGTAAATTCGGTCGAGCACAACATATATCTTAGTTCTTCTGGAGTTGGTGTTTCGATTGTGATTTTGCTGCTGAAAACGTAGCAAAATGGGAATCATTGAAAGAATTAAAGAAATCGAGGCCGAGATGGCTCGGACTCAGAAAAATAAGGCCACGGGTACTTGGCTTCATCCATTAATCTGTTATTATCAGTCTCTTCCTTTTGCATGTGTTGTGCATATACCACAATTTTCATGTACTCTTTTTCTGGTTCAAGTGATCATAACGGTTTTTTTGTACTTCTTTCTCGAACCGCAGAATATCATCTTGGTCAGCTCAAGGCGAAGATAGCAAAGTTGAGGACGCAGTTGTTAGAGCCTCCAAAGGTATGTAGATTTTGCGTTTCCTTCAATATCTGCTGATTATTTCTTTTAGTTTGTAAGCTTTGTTTAAGTGAGAGCTGTAAGAATGCATCTGCTTCTTGTGTACTCACATGTCTGATTGGAAATGGATAGTTTTTCTATTCATTCAAGTGCTTCGGCGAATAAGCACTTGTAGTTGCTTTTGGAACCCTTGAAAGTGATTTCATCGTACTACAAGTCGTTTCATGAACAATTCACTTATTGTTGTCAACGAGTAGTTAATTCAAAATTTAATTCAGTATTGCCTCTTTTAAAACTTCTGGAGCAAACCATCTTCTTTTTCTTCTTCTTCATTCTTTTTTCCAAAGAAATTATAAATCCAAACCATTATTATCGATCGTTTGGCTTTTCCTTGCTGTAAGAAATTTCATTTCACCTGGCAAAGAGTGGTTTTTTTTTTTTAATATATATATTTTTTAATTTTTTGATGTTATGTTTTTTTTCTTGTAAGTTCAACTCCAATTCCGAACCTGTTCTAAAATTGTTCATATTACACACATTTTTTAAATTAATTTTCATGTTATCAAAGTATGCATTGTTGTACAATTTTTTCGTTGCCCAAGTAGACTTAATGTTATCTTTTTAAACAGCGTGTTTATAATTCCCATACTTATTGAGATTTGTGTCTGTTGTTTCTAACTCTTTTTATTAACGTGTATTCACATTTCTACATGTCCGGGCGTTTTTCTCTTTCATCATGTGTTTAGTGGATGATGCAATATAAGAAACAAGTGTACTCCTATCCTAGACATCACAACCGTTTAAGCTCCTTTCAACCATTTTACAATTCTTATATTCTGTGCTCTTGATGCATCCTATTTTTCTGCACACTAGTTCATAAAAATTGACTACTTGATGTTCATTGATAGGATGGTAGTTTTTCAATCTTTGTTTTCAGAATATCACTGATTTTATTTATTTCTTCTTGGTCCCTTTATATGGTGGGACTTGTGAAAAGTTGGCTTTCATATTTACAATTCTTAACATGATGCATTCAGGGTTCAAGTGGAGGTGGAGAGGGTTTTGAAGTTACAAAATATGGCCATGGGCGTGTTGCACTCATAGGATTTCCAAGGTTTTTCCTGTTTGTCACTTTATTATAGTTATTTCTCTTTAAACTATTGAAAAGAGATACTTAAACTTGATACAGAAGGAGACACCAGTCTAGGTGCTCTAAAAACTTGGCTGTTAGAGCTTTTGAACCTATATGCTCGGATCATGCAGACTTTTGTCTCTAAACCATGTTAGACTTCCTAGTTTTTCTCTTCTTTTCTTTTGAGAAGAAACTAGTGTTTTGTGCATATCATCCTTGTGAGGGGGTATGCTAATCCTCTTTGAATTGTTCCAATTTTATCAGAAGTTCTCAAAGAGACTTTATATGAATCTACTTATTAATATCATAATTTTGTAAAACAAATTAATGTGGCTGTCAATTTTTTTTAGAATTGAGTTGCAGGTTCTGTTATTCCTTGTAGTATTTGCTACTTCTTAAGCAATATTATTCTATTAATTATATAATAACATTGTTTTGATATCAGAGGAATCTATGTCACAAGTCTCCTTTTTTCCTTTGTAGTGTGGGAAAGTCCACACTTTTAACATTGTTGACAGGCACTCAGTCAGAAGCCGCCTCCTATGAGTTTACGACACTGACTTGCATTCCTGGGATTATACACTACAATGATACCAAAATTCAGCTGCTTGATCTTCCTGGAATTATTGAAGGTGCGTCTGAGGGAAAGGGACGTGGTAGACAGGTAAAATAGTTTAGTTTCTTATTTGTCTGTTTGTAGGCTTATAGCATATGATTAACCTATAGGGGATATAGTCTAATGTTTTGTTTATTTTATTTGAATAGTAATTGATTATAATCCTTTTTTTTCCCCCATCCATACCACTTCCCTTTTAGCTATTCAATTTCACGGGTATCATGGATGTTAAGTTTTCTTGAATTGTATTTTTCAGGTTATTGCTGTTGCCAAGTCTTCAGACTTAGTCTTGATGGTTCTTGATGCCTCAAAAGTAAGTTTTAAGAATCAATTTCTTTTAATTTTGTTTTGAGTTTTTCTTGTATATGTCAAATTATTTCACTTCTTTATTTTTGGAACCAAAATTAAGGTTATTGAAATTGTTTGATATGAGGTTGCATCCGGTAGACTTGATGTCACCTTTCCAAGACTTGCTTTCTTAGTCCTTTTCAAGTTTTTGACGTCCTTTTATTGATTATGAGACTGGAAATTTTTCCCTCATACGCTATATCTCTCTAAGGTCAATAATTTTTTTTTCTTTTAACTCATTCTATGGTGATTGGATGCCTTTAGGTTATTAACTATTTGAAATGATAAGTAACATATGCTACCTTTTTGAATGATTATTTAATATTATTTGCAACTCTACTGTTTATAATGAGTTCACAAGCACTTTCTATAGCATATATTGTAATTTCTTTTTTACAATTTAGCGCTTACCTTCTTATGGGTGTTGTTTAAGCCAACATTTTCATGACACACTTTCTATGTAATCTTTAGAGTGAGGGCCATCGCCAGATTCTCACAAGGGAGCTGGAAGCAGTGGGTTTGCGTTTGAACAAGAGACCACCTCAAGTAAGTTTTGGCTTTGCTAGTTTCTTCATTGGTGTTCCCATCTTGTACTTCAATTTGGCTGAAATAGAAAATTCTTCTCATTCATCTTTGTTGACTGGTTAATCATTTAGTACTTCAATTATCTCTGCTTTAATTCTTATATACAGATATATTTCAAGAAGAAAAAAACAGGTGGTATTTCATTCAATAGTACCCTTCCTTTAACTCATGTTGATGAGAAGCTGTGCTATCAAATTCTACACGAGTACAAAATTCACAATGCAGAGGTATAGCCTCCAACTGAACGTAGATTACTGGTTTTCACCTTAATTTCTGATCTATGTTCCTTTTATTGGAACCTGCCTTTGATGACCGATAGAATCATCAGTGATTAATTCCATTAATATTCTCTTTTTTTTCCTTCGATTTCTTATTTGTTGAGAAGCAAGAGAAAATCCAAATTACTAAGCTGTAACTCACAAAACTGGTTGAGGATGTGATCATCCATCAGGGTGTAGCGTACATTAAAAATTGCTCTCCACTTAGCTATGATGAGAGAGTGAGAGAATAGTTGTAAAACAAGTTCTGCTAAACTATTGTGGTTCCAATCTGGCCTTAAAAGAGGCTCGTGGTTGGCATCAATGCCAATTTCAAATAGGACAGTTCCGATTTATGTCCTTAATCATCATATTGCCGATTGACTTTTTATTTATTTTTTATTTTTCTTAGAATTAGACGTTCATATGGGGTGGGTGAATTCGAACCTACAATCTCTTTCGAGTAAAATATGCCTTAACTGTTAAACTA